CTTTTTGTCCCTCCTTTCTATGTTAAAGGTTTACTAAGGCAAGTGTGTATTGATTTCCAGCTGCCTTCTGGTTACACCTCTGTCTGTTGTGTTAGATACAGCATCACCAAAGAGGATATAAAGTGAATGGGGTGTAATATGACTGGGTAACATCAGAGGCAGGGGAGTGTGGTGTCTAAGACATGCACACTAGAATCAGAAAATCTGGATTCAAATCTTCGTAGGTAAGACACTTGGTGTATGTCAGGCATATTGCAAGTATCCAGTGGGTGCAACTGTCATTATTCAAGATGACAGGAATATACAAGCATAGTTACGGTCTTCTCACCATAATGAAGACCAGTGAACTCTTCGGTAAAACATATTTTTTAAAAAAAGAATGACCTCATCCTCCTTAGTTTCTTTTAACCATAGTATTTATTCATTCAGCTGACTCAAATGTTGCAGGTTTGAATTGAGTACAAAGCCACACTTCCAGCCACATCCTTACTTCCTATTGTTTGCAAAGTATTTCTGGCAGAAGTGGCCCAGTCATCTCCACACGTGGCCCCCGGGAGCGGAGCAGAGGGACCTGGGGCGATATTTCTGTGTGTGGCTGAGTCCCATGGGCATTGGCATCCAGATTGTTGAATCTGAGGAATCTGTGACTCCGAACAGTGGTGCCAGACTTGTGTTTGCGCTCACACCCTGAGGAGACCTGAGTCAGCGCCTGCTTCCCTGACACACCTACGCGTGGGGTTTGTTTTTTGTCATTGGATTGTCTGGTTTGAGTTTTTCTTGTGTTATGAATACGTAGGAGCAGCGAGGGAACTTGCTACCCTGAAAAAGAATAAGTTTTGAGTAGACTTGATCTCTTGCTTCTTAGCGTTGGTTGAGATGAGTTCATCTGGCCTAGAACAAAGGTAACACAACACTGGGTCCTAGGGAAGTTAGGAGAGTCAAAAGATTTTGGCAAGAGACCTGAGTGGCAGAGGCATTTGTATCCACACAGTGGTTCTAGAATTGGGAAATCAATGTTATATTTATGGATGACACACTCTTCTCTCTCTCTCTCTCTCTCTCTCTCTCTCTCCCTCTCAAATCGATGAAAAATATATCCTAGGGTGAGGATTAACAACAAAAAATCTCCTAGCATTGAAGTGCAGAAATAAATACACAAAACAATTGTATGATTCTAGGTGACTTGGGAAATTTGAAAGATGTTCTTCTATTGCTTCTCTTGGCTCAGTGCTTGATGAATTTTGTTCCACAAATACTTTAGAATAACAACCTTTAGACTAACCAAACACTGAATTTGAGGAATATTTAAAATCTCAACAAATTAGTGCCTTTTCAAAACAGTGGCTGAATTGAGTAATGAAGGTCTGTGTCCACTTATATTATCACTAGAGGCCCAGTGCATGAAATTCGTGAAAGAGCAGGCCTTCCTTCCCCTGGCTGCCAGCACCAGCTTCCCTCTGGCACCCAGGACCCAGGCTTCCATTTGGCCACTGGCAGGCACCTGGGAACTGGGCTTCCCTCTGGCCGCTGGCAGGCACCCGAGACCCAGGCTTCCCTCACAGCCCCGGCTTTGTTCAGAAGGTTGCCCAGAAGGACATCCGGAAGGATGTCTGGTGTAATTAGCATGTTATGCTTTTATTATTATAGATGATGTGAGCATTTTACAAATACCAGTAACCACCATTTATTTCTGGTTACCATGTGCCAAGTGCTGTACTAAACACTTTATAAACATTATTTCATTTAATCCCTGAAATAATTTAAGACGTAGGTTTTATGGTCCTCATTACACAAATGAGAAAATGAGGTACTTAGTGTTTTAATATGTCCAAGCTTCCATAGCTAGGAAGACTTAAAAGCCAGGATAGTTCCTTCTCAAATTATCATCTTTGCTTTGCTACCACATAATCTGACTGATAGGTTAGTTCTTTGAAATGCAACATGACATAGAATTTCTTGAAGGAGTAGTTGGTCTTTAGAATCTTTGAAACATTTTAAGCCTAATCAAGATTTGGGAAGGTCCAAGGAATTGATTGCATATGTCCAGTGCCAATTTTTCTGAAATAATTTTTCTGGTGTTTTGATTTGGACTTTGATCCATCCAAGACAAGCATCGAATGCAGTGGAATGACATCTAAATGGGCAGTTTTCACCAGTGGCTACACAAAGAATCACCTGGGGAGTTTTAAAATGCAAACCCAAGAAAACAAAAAACTGGAAAGCCCAGTCCCCAATTCCCAGATATTCTTGTGTGTGTTTTTTCACCCCAGTTTTATTGAGATGTAATTGACAACATTGTACTAGTTTCAGGTGCACAACATAATTATTTGATATATGTGGATATTGAGATTAGTTAATCGTCAACATCACCTCACATAGTTACACATTTTTTAAAATTAATTCTTACCCCAGGATATTTTTCCATTGACTCTTTTTTTTTAGAGACAGAGAGAGAAATATCGATGTGAGAGAGACACGTCAATTGGTTGCCTCCTGCACACGCTCTGACCAGGGCTCGGCATTGAGCCTACAACTGAGGTATGTGCCCTTGACTGGGATCATAACTCAGGACCTCTCAATCTGTGGGCCCATGCTCTATCCACTGAGTCAAACAGGCTAGGGCCACCTTTTTTTCTTGTGATAAGAACTTTAAGATCTACTTTCTTAGCAACTTTAAAATATACAATATGCTAGTATTGTTAACTATAGTCACCATGCTGTAACTTATAACTGGAAGAAATTTGTACTTTGACCACCTTCACCCATTTTCCCCTCTCCCCACAGTGCCTGCCTCTGACAACCACCAGTCTGTTCCCTATTTTTTTTTTGAGGTTTTCTTTTTTTCTTTTCTTTTTTTTTTTTTTTAGATTCCACATGTAAGTGGATCATAAAATCTTTGTCTTTCTTTGTATGACTTATTTCACTTAACATAGTGACCTCGAGGTGCCTCCAGGTTGTTGTATTTGGCAGGAGTCACAATCCTGGGTCCTGTTGTGCTTGTAGTCCAACTCTGCAAATTGGGACCACCACCATGCCTCACTCCTCACTCTCTCATCCCACGCACCCAAGCCCCTTGAAGTGGTGGTGATGGTGGAAGAGGAAGAAGGCGGGGAAGGAGAAAGACCAAGAGGAGGGGGAGGAGAGGGAGAATTGGAATTAGAGGAGGAGGAGTTGGAATTGGAAGAGGAGGAATTGGAATTGAAGGATGAATTGGAATTGGAGGAGTAGGAATTGGAATTGAAGGAGGAATTGGAATCTGAAGGAGTGATTGGAATTGGAGGAGGAGGAATTGCAGGAGGAAAAATTGTCACCGTTTGCACCATTCCAGTCTGGTGATCTTCAAGGAAGTTCTGGTTGGAAGTTGATCAGCTCTGCAGTGCCAGTTCTTGGGATACAACTTTTCTACGATTTATTTAGGTTTTGGCTCTTTGCTTTGTTTGGTTTCCTAGTCCAGTAACATCTGAGAGGCTTTTGTTATATTTGTTAAGATCAAACATAAGTAAGTCAAGGGGCTATTTCAAATGTTGGTCACACACAAGTGCTGTTTTATTTCAGTGGAATTAAGTTTTCCCATCTTCTCTTGCCTTCAACCTACTCTATTCAACCTAACTTGTCACCTGTTCGTTTATATTGGCATATAATAGTTTTTAGATGAGGACTTTTAGACCCTATGATTGTAACTTAGATACGGTTGTCTGTTATTAAATATGATACCAATATGTGATACCCTCACTCATACACACAGGTCATATGGCTGTTTGTGTTCAAATGCACAAATATAATTTCCTTGCAACAGTGGCACTTTTCACACCGTGCCTTTTATCATTTTACTAGAGGCCCGATGCATGAAAATTCGTGCAAGAGTAGGCCTTCCTTCCCGTCTGCCGGCATTCTGCCGGCACCAGCTTCCCTCTGGTACCCGGGATCCGGCTTGCCCCTGAGCCCAGGCACCGGCTTCCCTCTGGCACCGGGGACCTGGGCTTCCCTCCTCCGGCCACCAGTGGACATCAAGGACCCGGGCTGGCTTCCCTCTGGCCCCGGCTTTGTCAGGAAAAACATCTAGAATGACATCGGAATGACGTCTGGTCTAAGTAGCATATTACCCTTTTATTATTATAGATATTTATGTTTTGTTGAACGGTAGCTGGCTTTCTTCCCTTTTCTTGCTTCCACTTGAGGAACATCAGCTCTCTAAGGATGCCGTGTAGGTTAGCTTGTTGTCTTTAAATATTTTATTTTATAACTTTACTGAAGGCCGAAGGATCTTCAGTGTTTTGGGGGGACAGGAAGCCTCTGAACTCAGTTCTCAGCAGCCATGAAAGCTCTGTTAGAAGTCACCTGTATGACATACTTCCCTTTATGGCACAAATTGCTTTGTCTTGCTGATATATGAATGTCACTGTGGATAATCAAGGTGCTAATATTCTAGGTTTCATAAGTGGAGGGGGAATTATTAAGAGGAGTTGGAGAGAATTTAAGTGAATTGATAAGATCTATAAAACAGTTTATGAAAAATGTATGTGGGAATCTGAAAGGTAATTTCATAAGCACCAGCTATTTTTAAACATGTAAAAAATATTTGCAGTCCTATGTTTTTGTTTGTGTAGTTTGAAATTTTGAGACAAGCTTTTTGGCATAAATATAACCCTGTGTGAAATGTAAGGGGATATTTGTTCTTAATAATTTTTTCTGGCTACTTTTTTTATGGGTGAAGAGCTGTGGTATTGTCTACAGCTGGTAAAGATAATTATAGTTGTTTAGTTTGGGGATTAATTTATTTTGAAATGTAATGATTTGATATTACTTTGACTTAATTTTAATGAGAAATTTTATTTAGAAAGACTTACGACTTATACCCAAAACTTGAAGGAATGGATTTTTGGCTGCATCCTGTTTTGGATGAGCTCCAGATCAAATGTTGTTTGGTGCTGGTTTACTGTTGGAGTACACAAGTTTCTGTTCAGGGGAAACAATTAATGTCCTTTGCACTTTGGTGGCAGATTTTTCGGACGCTGCCTGATGCCACACCCCCTGAATCAGTCTCCCAGTCACCCCCAAATGCTCCACCAAGACAATCGAAGAGACAAGGCCAGAGGACCAAGAGACCTGTGGCTGTGTATAATCTCTGTCTTCAGCTGGAAGATGGTAAGATGTTCATTATATTTTTCTGCTTGACAGCATGTTGAGAATATGGCATATCATATGTCCTCTGGAAAGGCCATGGTTTTCCATTCTGTGTATGGTTGTGTTATTTTTTTTTAAATGATTTTTTAGAGAGAGATGGAGGGTGGGGAGACACACAGAGAGAAAGAGAAACACTGATTTGTTGGTCCACTTATTTATGCATTCATTGGTTGATTCTTGAATGTGCCCTGACTGGGGATTGAACCAGCAATATTGGTGTCTGGGGATGACGCTCTGACCAACTGAGCTACCCAGCCAGGGCCATTCTTTGTGTTTCAATTTCTTTTTCCCTGAAGATTTTTCTGAGATTAACAGGGAGGGTAATGCTTTCCTGTCTGGGAGAGAAGTAAGTTTCAGTTTTGTGTTTGTCTTTGTTATGCATGGTTCTTTTTATATTTTTAAAAGACAGCTTAACTTTCTTTTTTGGGAGACTTGTGTGACCTCCTGTGAGGTTATATAATCCTGAGACAAATGGAAGGGGAACTAAAATTAAAGCAGATCTTTTATGAGAGAAGTCTGATGTTAAATGCATTTATATTGAAGGCACAGTTCACCGCAGCCCTGGGGTTATGGCTTATGCACCTTACTTGCTCCATGTTTCTGCCTTTCTCATAAGGCAGGTATCTGATCGTATGGCAGGAGTGGCAGATTGACCTGTTTTTAGGGGCTAGGCTGAGTGAACTGAGCTGCAATCGGATTCTGGCAAATGTAAGTTCTCAAGTCCCACTTGGGCTATGATGTTCTGGCTGATTATTTTTTTTAATTCTTTTTTCCATTGTTTTTTGTTTTGTTTTTTTTTGAGAGAATGGAAAGAAGGGGAAGAGACAAAAAGAGAGAGGCACATTGATTGGTTGCCTCTCCCACACATCCCAACAGGGGTGGGAGACGGAGCCTGCAATTAAGTTACGCGTCCTTGATGGGGAATCGAACCCATGATCCTTCAGGTTGACACTCTAACCACTGAGCAAATGGGGTAGGGCCAGGCTAATTCTTGTCATGTAATCATGTTGTCTCAATGTTGCCAGATTGTCTAGTTGTTTTTTTTAAGAGAGAGTGGAAGGGAGAGGGTGAGTGGAGAGGAGAGAGAGAGAGAGAGAGAGAGAGAGAGAGAGAGAGAGAAACAGAAACATCTATGAGAGAGACACATTGATTAGTTACCTCCTGTGCACACCCTGACCTGCAACCCAGGTATGTGCCTTTGACCAAAAATCAAACCCTCAACCCTCCAGTGGGCAGGCCGACACTAACCGCCTTGCAACACTGGCCAGATTGCCTAGTTTTTACAGAGAGTCTGGAAATTTGAATTTTAAACATGAATTCCTGCAAAACAAGATGGTGAGCCAGGTAGAGAACACCAATTGCTGATTTGTAGCCATATGGTTATGGATGTGGAGAAGGCAATGATCATGGTCTCAAAAGCCTGTGTTTTCAGTGTGCCTGTCTGCAATTGTGACTTTTGTTGTGGGACTTCACCCCTGCTGAGGACATTTTCTGATTTTGAAATTAGTCTTCATTTGTCTTCCTCTTCTCATCCTCTTTGTTTTTGGCATCTTTCATTTATTATTCTTGAAAGCTACAGAAGTTATATTGGTTTGGCAGTGTGGGATTATTGTCAAAGAGAGGAAGGGAATGAAGATAGAAACCAATACAGCATCTTTATCATAAGCAGCTATGTAATCAAATGTCTAGGTCAGTGGTCGGCAAACTCATTTAGTCAACAGAGCCAAATATCAACAGTACTTCTTTAAAATAGACTCGCCCAGGCCGAAAACCGACTTCTGCACATGGGCCATGAAGTTTCAATCGCACTGTATGTGCGCCCACATGTGGTATTTTGTGGAAGAGCCACACTCAAGGGACCAAAGAGCTGCATGTGGCTCGCAAGCCGCAGTTTGCCGACCATGGGTCTAGGTTGTTAATATCCAAAGATCTGTGCAAGCAAGTGACAGTGTCTTCAACTCAGCTGACTTGGGGGTGTCTACAGAAGGTCTCAGATTGCTTCCTATAATAACATTGGGGGCTATGAGGTTTTTAAAGATTTTTAAAATTTTAAAGATTTCTAATTTTTATGGGTGATTTTATTCTTAAAAAATTAAATTTATTGAGGTGACATTGGTTAATAACATTATAGGTTTCAAGTGTATAGTTCTATACTACAACATCTGCATGTTGCATTATGTGCCCACCACCTCAAGTTAAATCTCCTTGTCATCATATATTTGATCCCCTTTACTACTCTCCCACCCCCATTACCTTCTGGTAACCACCATACTGTTGTCTGTCTTATTTGTTCATTTGTTGCTTTCAGTTTTATATCTCACACATGAATGAAGTCGTATGGCTATTGCCTTTTCTGTATGACTTATTTCGCTTAGCATGATATTCTCCATATCCATCCATGTTGTCACAAATTGCAGTATTTCATCTTTTCTTATGATTGAGTATTATTACTTGCCTTTTTGATAATAGCCAGCCATTCTCACAGGTGTGAATTGGTGTCACTTTGTAGTTTTGATTTGCATTTTCCCGAATAGCTAGTGAAGTTGAGCAATTTTTTTATAGTTTGTTGGCCATTTGTATGCCTTCTTGGGAAAAGTGTCTGTTCTGGTCCTCTGCCTATTTTTTAATTAGACTATTTATTTTTGTTGTTGAATTATACGAGTTCTTTATATATTTTGGATATTAGCCCCTTATCACAGGTGTTGTTTGCAATACCTTCTCCCATTCGGTTGGTTGTCTTTTTGTTGTTGAAAGGTTCTTTTTTCTATGCAGAAGGTTTTTAGTTTGATATAGTCCCATTCATTAATTTTTGCTTTACTTCCCTTGCCAAATTCATAAAATCCTCTCTTAAGACCAAGGTCTGTAAATTTAGTACCTGTATTTTCTCCTATGTGATTTATTGTTTCACGTCTTATATTTAGGTCTTTGATCCATTTTGAGTTAATTTTTGTATATGGTGACACAGAGCAGACGAGTTTCATTCTTTTGCATGTGGCTTTCCAATTTTCCCAGCACCATTTATTGAAGAAGCGTTTCTTTTTTTTTCATTGTGTTTTTGGCTCCTTTGTAGAGATTTTTTTCTTGCCCATAAATGTTTAATCTTTATTGGGGGCTTGTTTAAGACATATTTCATATGATACAAATATTAGTTTTACAGTCAGATCCTTGTTTTCCAGAAGAGGGGCATGAATCTGTAATTCCAGAGCTTTCTTTTAGACATTAGTTTCAACTTCTGAACCCACCTAACCTTTTTGTTCTCTCTCTTTTTCTCACTTTCATTCTCTTTCAGTAGAGTTGCTAATAAGGAGTAAAACTGGTTGAAATTGCACCTTTTCTTATACCTCACTTGTTCTCAGGTGGAAGTATTAATAAAGACTGAAAGAAGCAAATGTTGAGAAGTAAAGGGAGGAAAAATCAAGAAGCCATTGATAATATGTGCATTGACTCAAACTGAATAGACCGTATTTCATTAAGGAAATGACCAAAGAGGGACCTTTTGTCTTAGAATTACATCTACTTTTTTTGACATTTTTAGGACTTTAATCATAATATTCAATCACAGCTTCATAGTATATTAATCTTTTGATCTTTGGATTGCTAAGTGATTATTAAAGGGTAAGAAATTGTTGAAGTGGTATTCAGAACATCTTTTATGGGAATATTGAAGATGGTTTGCTACAATATTTAGGTTATATAATAATTAAACATTATTTGATTGTAAGGGAAAAGAGATCGTCAGATATTCAGTTCTCTAGTCTGTTTTTATGTTCATCATTTATATGATGTTTTAGTCTACATTTTGTACTTTAGAACTTTACATTAATTATTCTTGATTGTAGCCTTAGATTTTTTTTTTTGAAAGTTGTCAGAATAAGGAAAGCTCGTGATTTTGGTCATGGAGTACTTTTATTTTACCTTAGAGGTCATAAGATCAAGCAATTAAAACTATTATTTACATCCCCCCCCCCAATTATTTGTTACATTTAAGTTGTGTGAAAAAAAAATTTTTTTTGGAGAGACCAAAATAGGGGTATGTTTGGCATATTCTAAAAAATGGGAAATAAATGAAGAGAAGTGGTGTATATGCTTTTGAAAGGAAGCATACAGGGAAAGGATGCTAAAAGACTATGTTATTGAATATGACTCAGCATACTGAAAACTCTACCCCTTCAAAAAAACATGTATTCTTATCACTAGAACTTAAATGATGTTGTTTTTGTAGCCTGAGTCATCTAATGTCAACTCTACTTGAAGGTTTCAAAAAGTTTAATCTTTTATTGTATTTGTTAAAATTGATAGTAGTAGAATTACTTTCCATGTATAGTTTGGTTGATTATTTTTCCAAATGTTTTAGTTTATATCAGTCTGGTAGAAAATTTAAATGCAAATATGTCCTCTCTTCCCTGATGCCTTCCCCCCCCGCCCCCCGCCGCCGCCACATATATTCACTGTAGTATAAGGTAAATTCAATTTAATAAAATCCAGAACAAATAATTCTTATTTAAAACTTTGGTAGATTATCTGCCAAGATTCAGGAACCTAGAGTGGATAACTGGGAATTTTCTCAGCACTAGGATTTGGTCACAGATTTGGTATTTGAGAGAAGTGGTTTGTGGTGTGTTATTTCATCTTCTACTTTGGTAGGGTATGAGACTGTGAGGTACCAAATAGGCAACCCTGTGCAACACTCAGTTGGTTTCAGTTTAACATCCGAAGGATCAAAAGGTCATTATTTGCAAAGATTCAGCAAGCCTATTAGCATGAGTCTGGAATCAGAGAATCCAAACTGGTGTGAAGTAGGAGAGAAACTCTGCTTTAGACATGACTTTTATTATGTCATATTAACCCCACTGCACCCTCCATTGAGAGGTGATCAGTTTAATTGACCATACTTAGTATCTTTACTTTGATAAAGACTTTAATTGGCTTTAGCACATTTAGCCATTCCACATATACAGCGC